ACTGCGGAGCCAGACTCGGGCATTCCTCTTCTTCTTGTCAGCTCCTCCCTGTGGTCCTCAGGCGGATCAGGAGAAGCGCAAGAAGCGTTGAAGAAGCCTCCAAGCCTCCAGGTTGCTACTGCTGCTCTTCCTCGTCCTCCTACGCGGCGGGCGCCGAGACGGCGAAGAAGTACACCGGCCCTTCCCGACAGGCCTGCCTGAGCCTTTTTGTCAGCTCCTCCCTGTGGTCCTCAGGCGGATCAGGAGGAGCGCAAGAAGCGTTGACAAAGCCTCCAGGCCTCCAGGGTGCTGCTGCTGCTCCTCCTCGTCTCCCCACGCGGCGGGCGCCGAAACGGCGAATAAGTGAACCTTGGCATCGCTCGGACGTGTGCATTTCTCCTTCGGCGAGGACCATCGAGAAGCATCCTTGATCACTTGGCGAAAAAACTACGCACGAAACCCAAAAAAGCACAGGGAATGGACGTCCGAGCGATGCCCAGAAACTGGCCGTTCCCGGCAGGCCTGCCCGAGCGCAGACCACACGGGCGCCCTGCCTGCCTGCCGAGCGCGGGAGGCGCGGTTGCGGCGGCGGCAGCGGTGGGCCACCTCGGTGTACGAGCTCTTGGAACTCATGTCCTGTAGACAGTAGCATAAATTCCTCCTCCTCCTCCTCCTCCTCCTCCTCCTCCTCCCCTGTCTCCTCCTCCCCTGTCTCCTCCTGATGGTTCCTCCTCCTCCTCCTCCTCCCACTCCACATCCGCCTCCTCCTCCTCCTCCTCGTCCTCCTCCTCATCCTCGTCCTCCTCCTCCTCGTCCTCCTCGTCGTCGTCGTCGTCCTCCTCCTCCTCCTCCTCCCTCCTCCCCTGCTGCCCGTCTTCTGCTTCCAGCCTGCAGCTCATGGGCAGTTTGCAATGCGAGGTCCTCAGGCATGGCTAGGAGCCCAAGCGCGCGAGGTGCGCGCGTGGTTCTGGTAATGTACAGCGAGACATAGAGACAGAGGCCTAGAGAGAGAGAGAGAGAGAGAGAAAAAAAAAGAAGAATAAGCTAGAGCGCGCAGAGGTCGGCCAGACGGGCGACGCGCTCGCCATCGCGGGCATGGGCGCCGCGAACCAGGCCTCCGCGCGGGAGATCCGCCGGTGAGGGGGGCCCAGACCTCTGCGCTGCGCCTCCTCCTCCTCCTCCTCCTCCTCCTCCTCCTCCTCCTCCTCCTCCTCCTCCTGCGCGCCCGCGCGCGCTCCCCCGCGCGAGGAGGTAGGAGGAGGAGGAGGAGGAGGAGGAGGAGGAGGAGGAGGAGGAGGAGGAGGAGGAGGAGGAGGAGGAGGAGCAGGAGGAGCAGGACGAGGAGGAGGCGGAGGAGTGGAGGATGAGGAGGAGGAGGAGGATGGAGGAGGAGGAGGAGGAGGAGGAGGAGGAGGACGGAGGAGGGACGAGGAGGACGAGGAGGAGGAGGAGGAGGACAGGAGGAGGAGGGGGAGGAGGAGGAGGAGGAGGAGGAGGAGGAGGAGGAGGAGGAGGAGCAGGAGTAGAGCAATGCTCTGGTACCTATTCCTTTGGGCGAGGTGCTTACAACAGCGAGCTTCAAAACGGCATTGCGCAATGCTGTTGCGAACCAGGCTGTCTCGTCAAACGGCTTACATCCATTTCAGCTCACGCTTGGATCCAGACCCTTCTTGTGTGGATAGCGGATCGCCCCACCACGTCGCGACGGTGCCAGCTGGAGCGATGATTCGAGTTGGTTCCAGACCGACAACTGTCAGAGTGTTGAGGTTGAAACAAGGTGGACCACGGCGCCGACAGGAGCCTTCGGTATGCCTACATCTGCTGTGAAGTTTGTATTTCGCGATGCTGATAAAAAGGGGCCCTGATCAGCCTTTGGAAGTTAGTCTCCAGCTCGGGGCTTCAGGATGGCTTACACGCGACAGGTAAGGAGGATATACCCCCAGGGGTCACGATGGAAGACGAAGAGGGTGGGCATCGAGGGTTTGGGATATACGTGTTGCATGGCGCGCGAGCAGGTAAGAGCGAACAGTCTTAAACTGATTGCTGTTATTGTCGGATTTTCAGTTTTAGAAGCACATTGTTTCTGCTGATCCCCTCTGCCTGGTGACCATCTTGTTTTTCAGTCAAGGTGCTCCTCCCAAGGCTCGCACCTCGTATCTTACAACGGGGCGTGTGGAGCCACCAAACAGGACCCCTGGCCCCCGAGTTACAACAGCAACAGCAGCAGCAACACCACTACCACCACCAACAACAACATCAACAACAAATGCTGCCCCTTGATACTTCATCATAAGGTATGGAGAGGTCGCGCTCTCTCGCGGGGGTATCTCAAAATGTATGTAGGAATCGCGCTCTCGCGTTGGACATCCTTGCAATGCATTCAGGATTCGTGCCCTCGACGCTGAGGAATCGCGCTCTCGCTCTGGTTTTTCTCGCGATTCACTTGGGAATCGCGCTATTGCTCGAGACCCCCTCGCGATTGGGGGTCTCGTCGTCGCAGTAAGAAACCCGTTGCGTAGCGAATGGGTCTGTCACGTTGGCGTCGGTCAGCGGTGGCGCAGCGTGGCCAAAACTGCGTTTCAATTCCCCTTCCCTCCCACTACAGCAGTTCGGAGAAGGCCAGCCCGTGTAACAATCTACCAGGATGCGGGCCACATCTGGGCGCTCCTGTGCGACGAGGCTTGATAAGGCGATCCCGCGTGTATGTCGGCGCTGCCCCGTGGCATGAAGCCCCCCCTTCTTCCCCGGGGGGTTTGTACCAATCGCACCGGGTGCCGGTGAAGGCCCAGAAGCCCCCCCCTTGCCCTTGTCCTCGGGGGTTTCGTACCGGGGGCACCGGGGGCCGTCGACGGCTCGGAGACCCCCCCCCCGTGGGGGCGGGGTGGGGTGGGGCGGGGGGGCTGTGGGAGTGGGGTGGGGTGGGGCGGGGGGGAAGGCTGTGAGGGTGGGGTGGAGTGGGAGTGTCCTTGTGGGTGTTGGGTGGTGCGGTTGGTGTGGCGTGGTCCTGTGGTGCTCCAGGAGAGCTCGTGTGGCGCTGTTGGCGTGGCGTGGTGCTGTGGTGCTCCAGGAGATCTCCAGAGGTCGTCGTCGTCGTCATACGGCCAGCAAAGTCATGGCGCATGTTTTCACATGTGGCACTACGAGCACCAATTTTCAAACATCTTGGGCGACGATTGGCAGAATGTGGCCGTGGATCATGAGTAGTGCGCAGATCTCACAGAGCTTTGATTGAATCATCGATTGCTGAATGCGGATCCAATCTAGCACGCTTGGCATGCACGCGGGTTGCCGCAGACCTTCGGGCAAGCAGAGTGACGAACGAACGCCGCCGCCGCCGTTGTGGTCGTATTTCTTCCCGTCGTCGGATTCGTCGTCGTCAGAGTCGCCAGAGTCGGCACCGGCATCCGCATCGGCACATGCATCGCCGTCCCAGGCACGTAAAAGGGCTAACTTGACGGAGGGGGGCGCCACTGTAATAGCGCATAATTACCGTAGTCAGTGTGGGTGAGCCGTCAGCCACTTCCGAGTCGACAACGCTGTTGCCGAAATTGCTTGGCATGTGGCGACGGGAGGCGGCGCTGGATCCCAGATGGGCCGCCTGCCCCCGACGACGTTCCGAGCCTTCCAGGGGGTGTCGCACCGGCACGCAGCGGTGGTGCCTTGAGGGTGACCCCGGGGGGTTACGTGCATCCTCGGGGGGGTCGTGCTCCCCGGGGGGTTTCGTACCGGCCCGCGCCAGCGGTGCCGCCAGCTCGAACCCCCCCAGGATGGGCTTCGCCGGGGGGGGAGATTTCGCTCAGCACCGGGCACCGCCGACATGTACGTCGGTCGGCCCCCCCGCCTGCCAAGTTGTAGCCCGCGGCCGTCTCGAACTGCTTGCGTGTATTGGATCGCGAGGTGTGCAGTCCCGCGCCGAAGATCCTGGAGGTGGGACACTTTGGGTACCTCGTCGGCAATGGCCCTAGCGAACAGAGAACCCCTCTTCGAAATGCTACTCCAGCCTGGAGCCATGTCCGCCCGAACCCCGCTTGCTGCGTCACCGTACGCCGCAGGCGTCCTCCTATTCCGGAGGGTAACTGGCTTGCTGGCGCCTTCTGGCCCGAAGCCAGATGTGGCGGGAGAGGATGATGCAACAACGCAGGATCATTCTCGCTCCCTGCCAAACTAGCGCAGGATACATTGGGGGTATCGCAACGGCTGCAATCCCCAAGCCAACGGACCCTCCGCGAGCTCCACTCCACCAGGCCGCAGCAAAGCAGCAAACAAGGTACGGCTTCCGTGTGTGTTCCCTGAGAAGTCCCAGGCGGTTTTAGGCTGTGCCGACGGTTTCATGGATGACCTAGATCGTTTTATATTGAGAGGGGCAGGAGGTACGGGACTGGCGGGTAGATGGGAGGGTGTGTTAGCGAAGGGAGGAAGGGATGACGTACGAGCATGCGGTGGTCCGTCCAGTCAGGCGCCGCCCAGCTGTCCGACAGATTTCGATTCATGTAGCCAGTCGGCCGATGTTTAAACGGGTTCGACCGCGTGGACATTCGCGCGTCGGCTGCTCGCGCACATTCGCTCGCAGGCGCCCTCGGTCCCAAGCGGTGTGCCGCGCTTCCGGTTGGCGCGGAAACCACAGTGCAAGGTCGCCACGTCCTCTCGCGCAAGATCCCAGCCGTGTCGTCGATCGCTCCGGCCAGCCGGCCAGCCTGCCGCCCGCATGCGTAGCCGTCGCGCGGGGCCATTTGCCATCTGCACAGCCGCAGGCCGGGGGCAAGACCCCCCCCAGCCCCCGCGTGTGCTCTCCCGCGCGCGCGCGCGCGGGAACACACGCGGGGAAAGGGACAGCGACGGGTACGTATTGTGCAACTGGGCAAGGGGCCATCCCGAGCGCTGGCACGGGTCCCTCAGGGTCTTGCGGCGCATGGTTTTGCCCCTCGCTGGTTGGCTGGTACGTTCTTCTTCTCGTGCACCTTGCGCGCTCTGGCCTGATCGTGTTTCGGAGCCTTCGCGCACATTGTCCCCCTCCTGTCCTTCTCTTCCTTCCTGCTTCTCGCTCCCCGTCCCCACGAGTTGTTTTTTTTCGTCCAGCCATACTTTGGTGAAGGGTCCTCGCTTTGAAGAGACAGCATTGTGTCACTTATTCATTTCTCCACTTCTTCCTCCTGCTCCTCCTTCCTCCTATCCCTTGCACGCCACTGACGTTTCGTGGCCCCATGGGAGCTCCACCGAAGCCCCCAGTGGCAGGGTTCGCATGCCGTTCCACCTCCTATTTCGGCACACCCCTCACACGTTTCGTGGCCCCGTAGGGAGCTCCACCGAAGGGGAAGGGTTCGCATGCGGTTCTACACCAACTTCGGCACGCTGCTCACAGGTGTCGTGGCCCCATGGGGAGCTCCAGAAGGGCTCCTGTGGCAGGATTCGCATGCGGTTCCACCCCTACTTCCGGCATGCCTTTCACCCTTCACGCGTTTCGTAGCCCCATAGGGAGCTCCGCTGAAGGCCCCAATGGCAGGGTTCGCATGCGCTTCCACCTCCATTTCAGCACACCTCTCACACGTTTCGTTGCCCTATTGTGAGCTCCACCAGGGGCCCCAGTGGCAGGGTTCGCATGTGGTTCTGCCCCCAATTTCGGCACACCTCTCATACGTTTCGTTGACCCATATGGAGCTCCACCGAAGGCCCCAGTGGCAGGGTTCGCATGCGGTTCGACCTCGATTTCGGCACATCTCTCTCACGTTTCGTGGCCCCATGGGGTGCTTCACAGGAGGCCCCACTGGAAGGGTTCGAATTTGCGCTTCTACCTCCGGCACATCTCTCACACGCTTCGTGTCCCCATAGGGAGCTCCACCGAAGACGATCCTCACAATTGCGGCACTCACAGCTGCAAATGGTTGGGTCCTTCGCCATGGCTATGTTTGCAGAGGCGCGTCTCAAGAGGTGTACTCGGTTGTCTCACGACCGCCCCAGCGCGTTGCACTATCGGTGTGGCGTCCGTTACGAGGGGGAACATTTGATTAATGCCTCGGGTGAAATCGAAATCAGGACGCACCGCTCACGCAACCCGCTGAAGAGCCAACGTGCGCAAGCCCAGCGCCAGCTCTCTGCACACCAGGGGCCGAAGTTCATACCCCTTTGTAAGGTCGGCTGCCCTCTTCCCCGACCCTCATGCGCCATCCTGCCAGTGCGCGCTGGGCTGAGAGAAGAGGCGCTGGCAGGAGGAGTAGGAGTGCATAGGAGTAGGAGGTAGGAGGAGGAGGAGGAGGAGGAAGGAGGAGGAAGGAGGAGGAGGAGGAAGGAGGATGAGGAAGAGGAGGAGGAGGAGGCGGAGGAGGAGGAGGAGGACGTGGCGCAGGGAATTGCGCCGCTTTCGGAAATCCCAAGCCGCAGGTGTACACCACCATCTACTTCCTGTCCAGCTTCCTCCCCGCCCTCGTGACGCCCAAGATCGCCATGGCGGCGTCGCAGGACGGGGCCCTGCGAGAGCGAGCCGCCCGGGTCCCGATCGCGCCTCGGTCCGAGGGTCTGAACGAAAGGGGGGGGATACGGAAACGGGGGGGTTACGAAATCTGCTGCATGCAGCTGGTTTCGGCCCCGCCGCTGGGCCCATTCCTCGATACATGGGCGCCTCCCGGCGCCGGGAGAATCGGACACGTGAGCTGATTCTCAACCCCCCCCTTTGCTATCCCCCCCCTTTTCGCCCGGCCCGATCTCCCGCCCCGCCTGCCTTCCGCTCGCCGGTGCCGTTGGTCACCCCCAGGAGCGCGAGGACAACTGCGCCTCGCGCACCGCGCGTCGCGGCTCTTGGGTTCGGGGTTCGAGAAGGTGCCCTCCTCCGGGGCAGGGCGGCGGCGCGAGGGCGCGAGCATAAAACCGCGCATTGGCGCAGGACGCGTCGCGGTGGCCTATAGGTGCTGCAAGCTCTTGCTTGTGTTATGTCGGGCCTGTCCCCCTACAGGGAGATTTTCGACGAGAAGAAAAGATACCCCCAAAATAGTCAAAAAATAGTCCAAAAATAGTCGGGGGACTATTTTTGGTGCATTTTTTGGGGGGGCGGGGTATTTTTGTGGTATATTTTATTTTTCGTCGAAAATCCCTCTGTAGGGGGACACGCCCGACATAATGCTTGTGGCCGAGGGCGGCGTGAACGTTCACTCTGGCTCCAATGTGCGCGAGTGGAGGGAGGGATCACCAGTGTGGCAGGGGTACGCAGGGGTGGGCGAGCAGCCGCGGGAGCACCATTGCTCTCGCGGTGGCTCAAGTCCGCAGGTGCAGGTCCGCAAGTCCGCAGTCCGCAAGTCTGCATGCCGAACAGCTGTTCTCGACCAGTCTTCTTCTGACAGCGTGCGCCAACATGCCAGAGAAACATGTGATTTCTTCTCCTGAGCCACGGCGTTCAGCACTCAAGCCAGCTGACAAGTCGCTCGCACTGGCAGCTCGCAGCTGAAGGTCGACGCAGAAGGCGTAAGCTCGGCCCAAGCATCGTTCGAACAGCAATTGAATGACGCAGGCAAGAGCAACCACCCCGTGACCACCAACATGGTTTCCGGAGTAACTTTCAATGCCGAGACGTTCAACGCCATATTGGAGGAACAATTGCAACCAATTCAATTGGACATTACAGCTATCAAGGCACAAGGTATCTCGCGGGAGGACCTTAACACAGCAGTGGAAACAGCAGTGCCCTACTACAATCACCCATCGACGACACTTCTAAGCGTGTGTCGGCATTTGAAGCACCGTCCCGGCCATCATCTGCAAAATCCGCGGTGACAGGGGATCATTCTACGAATGCCAAGCTGCAGAAGCTAGAGATGGATATCGAAGCCATGAAGCAGCAGCGAACGACTCCAGTACACATAAGATCACACAGAACCCACGGCGCCAACAACATTATATCTAGGAGGGACATTACGGCCGTCGTCGGCAATCTTCGACACCCTGGAGGCCGCAAACACTTGGATCAACCAAGAACTACTACGTCTGGGCGCGCCAATGCCTACCAATACCTACGCCAAAGGAGACTGCAACGATATGATGTTCATTGGGTTTTCGAGCATTTGCGACAGAAGCCTTGTGGTTGGTCAATGACGCGGCGCCAAGATCAGCAGGAACGGACAACATATTTGGGCTACAAATGATCGCCCACCACTGGTCCGGGCTGCACGCAGCTTTTGTTTTGGCACGAAGTACTTGCTGATGGGCCTCACGTGCCCCATCTGGGTTTGGGATACAGAACAAGCATACACGATTACAGTGGACGGGGAATTGGCCCTCAGCGTGAAGAGCGACGGGGACACGGTCATCCGTGAGTGGACGGCGGGGGCATGGACGGAATTTGGAGGAAATTCGCACGAGCGAAAAGTTGATATAATTGACGAAGACGTGCGACGGGATTGTCCAACGTGCTTCCAAGAATCTGAAAGGCAGCGCAAAGGGTCAGTCCAAAGGATCCGCCTAGGACACACGGCGGGCACTAGAAGTCACAGACAGTGCACGAGCCGCACCGATAAACGTTACTGTTACGTCTTCTGGGTTAGGGGACATGGAGATTACGGGCACAGCTACCGACGTGCCCACTTCAACGGAACATTTACATCCAATTATGCATTGAGATTTTGTCTTCCGACCCTTATTTTTATTTCCAACAACACACATCGACTTTCCCACGCCAAGCTCCAAACCTCCACCTCCCGACCTCCAATCTAAATACCTCGATCCATCTACACCCACAGTTTTTGACGCTACTGCGTGCACGAGTCCGGGCACAGCTACCTTCGTACAGCGCACAGCGGAGGTGGTGATACCTTGTTCAACGCGGTCTGCCCTTACCTATACTGCAAAGGCGCTGGAGCTACCTACGTGCACAAATTCTTTGACGACTGGTGCCACCGACAAACATTGAGAACATGCCGACCTACACCGAGCAGGTCATCATCACGCCCCGGTTTCCCAGATTTCAGCATCTCCGACACTGGGTCAGCCTTCCTGTCTCCATTCTCTCCGATTCCGGCTTCCACTCTCTCCGACTCCGGCTTCGACTCCAGAAGAACATGGTTCAGAACGCCCGGAGTGCCAGGACATTTTCGACTGCGGCTGGGAGATCGATGCCAGGAGCTGTCCGGCAACCATCCCTCCCACACACCACGCGCTTTTCTCCCTCCAGCCCCGACCTCAATGTCGATTTCTTCGTCCCTAACCCCCAGCATCTATGAAGACAACATAACATGTTCCACACAAAAGGGAGACTTTGACGTTCGCGACCCTGTTTCGCCAGCCTTGCAGGACCAGTTCGGATCCCCACCGCAGGAATCCGTGCGACTACTACGGCAAGACGTTGTTGCGCGACCTCTGACTCCACAAGCAGGCTTCGACGTCACACCCCGAACTCCACATTTTGACCTCCAGCCTCCTCCAACATCCGACCTCCGACCTACTTGTCCACCTAGCGCCCCCCAACCTGCCGACCTCCCACCACCACCACCATTTTCACCTATCACCCCCCCGCGCCCTCCACCAGCTATGGACCTCCAGCTCTTACATACTCGGCATCCCTACCTACAGCCTCCAGCATCCGACCTCCAAGCACCACCATCTCCACCATTCGACGTCCGACCTCCGACAGCCCAGCATCGCGACCTCCAGCCTCCAGCATCCGCCCTCCCACCACCACCAGTTCCACCTATCGACTTTCCAACTTCACCATCTCAGCGCCCCCACCTCCAGCCTCCAGCATCCGACCTTCCACTTCCATCTAAACCTGTAGGCCTCCGGCCTCCACCTCCCCAGCACACCAGCCTCTAGCAGCCACCACTACCACCTCCACCGACCGATTTCCAACCTTCGCCATCTCCACGCCCCTACCTCCAGCCTCCAGCTTCCGACCTCCGACCTCCACCTTCACCTATGGACCTCCAGCTCTCACAACCTCAACATCCCGAGCTACAGCTTCCAGCATCAGACCCAACACCACCACCATCTACACCATGCGACCTCCAGCGTCTGACAGCCCAGCATCGCGACCTTCAGCCTCCAGCATCCGACCTCCCACCACCACCACCAGTTCCACCTATCGACTTTTCACCTCCACCATCTCAGCGTCCCCACCTCCAGCCTCCAGCATCCGACCCTACACTTCAATCTGCCGGCCTCCAGCCTCCACCAACCCAGCACTCCGACCTCCAGCCACCACCATCTGACTTCACACCACCACCACCACCGATCGACCTCCAACTTGCCACTGCCGCCATCGACCAACCCCGCCGACCACTACCGAACAGCAGCAACGATGGCACACATGAACAGCAACAACAGCCCAACGAAGAGCAGTGGAGGAGGACGAGGCAAATGCAACACAGTTGACGGCGACGTCCCCATCAGCACACACCGAAACCACTCACGAGAAAGCGACGACGGCGGCAAACACGACCAGCATACTCCAACATCACATCCATCGTCAACCCAAATATTCACTGTCATACACAAAAACATACGAAGTCTCGATATACGTTTTTTTTGCAAGAACTGGACGGCGTATGTTGGGATGTGTTTACGATCAACGAGACTTGGAGAAGGGAATCTCGCGAGATGTGGATCACAAAATGCGGGAAACACTTATTCACAGCATCGGGCCATACAGATGCGTCACGTGGTGTCGCATTTCTTCTTCACCGGCGACACGTCCAGCAGGTCTGATTTTTCGAAGCCATTAACGAGCGAATCGCCTACATCGACATCAACTTCCCAAAACAGCACATCAGAATCTTGACGGCGTACTTCCCTCATCCCAGTTACGCGGACATACACATACAACGTCTGTACGACAAATTGGAAGCGACCCACGCCGACGCCATTCAATCCAAGCGGACATGTTTTATTGCTGGAGATTTTGATGCGCAAGTGAGCAGGCAGCCTGCTAATATTCATGATGACGTAGACGACGACGAACGAGCAGATCACGTGAGCCAGAGAAATATTGTTGGCAAATTTGGCTTGGGCTTGTTCAGCCCAAGAGGGATATGGCTCTGTGCATGGTCTAACTCGCGGAAGCTCTTCATTGCAAACACCAAACATTTTCTTCTACAAGCACTATCACATCTGGTTCACCTACACAACCAGTGGCAAACACCCGACACAGACACACATTGATGATAGACAGAGCACGAGGCCACCAAGTGGTCGACTCGTACGCCTCCAACGTCCCAGATTTCGGATCCGACCACCAAGCTGTGCACGTCAAGATGGACCTTGAGGCCACGACGAAAAGAAAAAGGAGACGGAAGCAAACGCACCGCAGCACGCGATCCAATCCCCCGGCCGACGACCCGTTCTTCCAGCAATGTTTGCAACAACATCTGGGCGACCACAATCACGACGCCGACTTGGACAGTCGGTGCCATGATATCGGTGAAGGGCCCAGGCTTGCGAATGAGGATAACAAAGAACACCAAGAACAACCAACCGGAGACCTTCAA